AAATGTGAGGTGCCACATGTCTGAATTTTGATCACGTGACTATGGAAATGTTGCAATGGTTGGTAAGTGTAAAAAACAGTCATAAGTCACCTTTTTCAGTGCCTTTGTAACTTTGAACAGTCACTAAATGAACTGTTGTAAATTGAGGATACCTGTATGATGTAAATTGAGATACCTGTATGATGCAAGTTGGTAAGAATTTAAAAACCTGTTGAAGCAGACTGAGAAAGGGCTGGGAGCCAACAGTGTTAAGAAAAAATTAAACCCAGATTAACAAGGCATAGTTCTTGAGTTAGTGATACTGTTGGTAAGTTGTATGTTAGGCTATGAACTAAGAAAGATTATAAGAGATCTGGACGCAAAGGTGGCATTCAGCAGGTTCTGACCAGTTCTGGAGAACCGGTAGCGGAAATTTTGAGTAGTTCAGAGAACCAGCAAATACCACCTCTGACTGGAGATTTTACAGTATCTTTCCCCTGCCACGCCCACCAAGCCACCAAGCCCACAGAACCAGTGGTAAAAAAAAAAATGAATCTCATGACTAAAGCGTATGATTAAGAGAACTGGGTATGTCTAGTCAAGTGAAGAGAAGGATAGGGATCATATGACAGCAACCTTCTCATATTGAAAGGGCTGCCACAGAGGGAATCGACCTATTCTCCTAAGCATATGAGGTCCAGACAAAAAGTAAGGGGTGGAAGATCATTAAACAAATATCCAATCTAGAATTAAGGAACATTTTGCTGACAGAGAGAACAATTAATTAATGGAATGACTTGCTTCAGTAAGTTGTGGGTGCTTCATTGCTGAAGTCTTTCAAGAAGAGACTGAATGGCCATTTGTCTGGAATAGTACAAGACAGAGTGGAGAACGATGGCTTTTTTATGACTTGTGGACTTCAATTCCCAGAAATCACAAATAATATAAGGTCCATCGTTTCCCAGCTCCGATATCGTTTCCTGCTTGAACATAGGGTTGGACTAGACGACTTCTAGGGTCCCTTCCAAACCAATTATTTTATGTTCACTGAGGAAATAGTAATAAGATTCTACTGATAATTGATAATTGAGCTAATTTTCATCTAGGTTATCTTAAATAATGAGTACCGTTGTTATTCTTTACTCTTTTTGCTCAAAGACTGCATTCACATTACATACAATCTAATTGATTGTTCTGTTTATACAAGTGACTTAGGTTCACACAACACAGTAAGACAATTATATCCTACAATGATCACATCAGCTACTGAGCCTAAATCAAATAAAACAGATTACGGCTTAATTATGTATTTCAATACTGTTTTGTTTGCTTCAGGCTTAATTATGTGTGAAGATATTCAACTGTGGCTTTAATAACAAAAATCCAGTTTAAAGTGTGGCATAAACCCAGTCAAAATTACTATTACTAAATGCTAATATTAATATGGCAAAAATTATAAAGCTATGTGAAATGCTTTCAAGATTAAAAAAAAAAAGTCCAGTACAGTATATAAATTATACTGAAAATCCCAGCTCTAGCCACGTGTGTGGTATAGCTCTGCCTACTTCATATTTGCTCCACCCACTACAGTTTTGCTCCTCTTAAAACGTCTGGAGGGTAAGTAGTCCCCTCTTACAAAGGTTGTTGACGTCTGCCCTATGGTAAGAAGAGCATACTTTCCTAAGTACAGTAGTGAGTGTTGTGTTTCGTTTATTTCCTCTTAGGCTCGTGCGCTTTTTCAACTGTATGACAGGCAGAACTTGGCATGCAGCTGGGTAATCACTGGCGTAAACACTTTATCTGTTTGATTCTTCTTGGTTGCACAAGCTGTAAAAAGTCTTTCCAGCTGGGGGTAGAATTTGGCCACGCTAACAGGGAACTCTAGATTTATTCATATACACATAAGGTGTATTTTTTTAAAAAAGAATGCTCGAAACAAATTATTGCTAGGATTGGAGTAGAATGTACCCTTATTTGGAAATAAGCCTAGTTGAAGAAATCGGGACATAGGTTTCCGAGAAAGCGTACATGGACAGAATGCTCGGATAAGCTCTTCGCTGTTCGAACATGATGCGAATTTCCAGTTTTTCATATATGCCTCTGTAACGCAGAGAAAAATGTGCACGGGGGCTGCGAAGAACCGTGGAAGGCGAGGTGTTTTGCTGGGGATCGAACCTCCTCCCTCCTTTCCTTTGCAGGAGGAAAATCGCTGTGCGCGCGGCGGCCGTTCTGGCACAGCGCGTCCTCGGCCTGCAGGGTGCAGGCGTTAGCCAAGGCGGCCGCGGTGGCGGTGGGGAGGGATGGGGAGAGGGGGAGGAGGAGGAGGAGCCAGGCCGGCCTCCTTCCCTTCGGCTCTCGAGTCCATTTCCCCAGCTCTAGTGACACAAACGCACCAGGCGAGCGCCGCTGCTGCCCGAGCCCGGATCTTACAAACCCCTCTTGGCCGTCTTCTCTACCGATCCCCTCCCTTGGGGCTGCAGCGAAGGAGCGCGCGGGGAAACTCCAGCTTGCGAGGGGAGGGGGGGGGCAGGACGCCAGCTTCCTGCTTGCAAAGAAGGGGGGGGCGGGGGGAGAAAGAAGAAGACGGAGAGCAGCCGCCGCCGCCGCCTCCTCCTCGCCAGAGGTAGGTTACGGGGGGTGAAAGGAGCGAATTGCGGATCTCTGCGCTTCTTAAGGGAAAGCTTCGTATACGCTTGTGAACCCCAATATGTCTTCCCTTCTCGGCCCCCCACCCTCTTCCAGCTGTCTCCACCCTGCACTCCCCGTCCCCTCGCAGCTGTTCCTGTCACTGCCAACGTTGCAAATCTAGAAGAGATTAGGCAGGGGTGGTGGGAAAAAGATGCGCCCCCCCCCTCCTTTCCCATATAGGGATTTTTCGCTTGTGGAATCTTGTGGAGTGAAACCTCGTCTCCTCTCCCCCCCCCCTTTTTTAATCTCATCATTTAATGTTTCTCCCTCCCGTTTGGCTCACGCTCTCTCTCTCCCCACATACATACATACATACATACACACACATACATACATACATACTCCCTTCTCTTTTCAGCAAGGGAGGGAAAGAGGGAAGACTTTAAGGAGAGGCAGAAATGAGAAAAAGGGAGACACTTTTCTTTCCAAAGAGAGACGCTTGTTTATTTATTGCACTTTCTGGAGATTGGTGCTGATTTGGGATTTCTGTTAATTTGTAGAGGGGGGGGGGAGGCAAAAAATTGGTTTGTTCAGAAGTGATGATCTCAAAATCAAATTTATTTTTAACACCAAAAATTAAGAATTTGCTTACTAACACTAACCCCCTCCTCGCAAGAGATGGTGGCAGGGTTAATTCCCCACTTTTTTTCCTTCTTGCATGAATTTGATTTCTTACTGTTTGCATCTCTGGTACTAATCTCAGGAAGGTATCTCTGTTTTTGCATATTTCTTGTTGTTTTTAAATGCAAAGATTGTTTGCAAAGGCTGACAATAGGAAATTAGTTTTGACATTTGCGTTGATTGGGGGGGGGTAGAAGAGTTAGAAAAAAGGAGGGTATTTTTTCTATTTGTGTTTAAAGGGGGAAATATAGGTAAATATTTTCTTTAAAAATAAGGACGTTTGGCATGTGGCTGGTGGTCACAAGTCTAGGGGGGCTGTAGGGGGGATTGCGTTTTTTAATGTTGGCAGCAAGGCCCATTTTCTGGTAGAGCTAGATTTAACTTTCCTATTCCATTTTTTTTTAAATAGGGGAAGGGCTCAGGGTGAGTGAAGTGTCCCCCTTTTGGCTTGAGGGGGTGGTGGAAGGGGGACTTTGTGTTGAAAAGGAACCCATGCAGCAGGGATCCTGTTCTTAAAGAAAGGGGGATTCTGAGGGGCGACTGTGCTGTCAGAGAGACATCTGTCTGTAGGGGAACATGGTTAGAGTGGCGGATTAATCCTGAGCATTTAATGCATGTCAATGTTTAAAAATCAGAAGCTTTGAGATGTCTGCAAATGCTTCTGCGTAGCTCTCAATTTTATTTAAAATTGAAAGAGAAAGCTGAGCAGAGATTGATATAAATCTAAATTATATCTCAGTTTATGTCCATGTTGGTCCCAGTCAGCATGCAAGTTTTTGCATGTGTCTTGAAAGGAAGGGCCTTGTGCCACCCTGCCTCCAGTTTTGTCAGTGTTGCTGCTTTCCCAGCTTTCTTTCCTCCCCTGCTTTGTGAGGGAGAGAATGGGTATACATCAGTTTGCTTATGGTGCAGGTTGATGGGTTGGGGGTTGTAGGGGAAGGAAAGATAGCCATTTTTCCCTTTAAAGACCAGAGATCACCCCTTGTGTGGATCATCAAAAGGTAATTAGGCAGGTATCTTTTCAACCAGATACCAGCAGATGTCTTTCAACCACTTCTGACATTCATATATTATTGATTGTTTTTTTTTTTTAAAAAAAAAGCAATATCCAACCGGAATGTAACAATTTGGCGGCAAATGTGGGGAAAATTTCTTTCTGGTAAAGAAGTCAACTTCCAACCTGGAACAAGACTAAAGGCACATTTATGCCGTTTTTCATTGGGCATGGATAGTTCTAGTTAATTTTTCTACTAAGTAGGAAGATTTTGTCATATCTTTATTTGCACTTCTCTTCATCATCCCATGGCTATTACGCTGGCTTCACATCCAGATCTCCCTTTGCAATTGCTGCTTTATGTAGTATTAATTGTCACTTTACTTTCTTCTTTTATCCTGCATATAGAAATGTGGGAGAATGAAAAAATATATATTAAGGTTGCCTTTTAATATCATTAAAAGGGAATGTAATACTAGCAAAGTTTTTTTTAAAAATCTATAAAAGATTTTGAAGGAAGTTACAAGCATTAAGTGGATAGTGGTTGCCCTTAGAAGAGCAGAGGTCATGATCTGGAAATGACCTCAGCTTTGCCCACCCTAAAACAGCTTGCAGTGGCAATAAGCAAGTAAAGAGGTTAGTGCAGGCCAAGAGTATGACTTATTTAGAAGTCAAGGCAGGGAATTAAAACCAGAATTTTTTTTCTTATATTAGAAGAGCGACTTTTGTGAACAAGGCAAAAAGGTAAGGCAACCATGAGGTATTCTTATTGCTGTGTTGGGAGTAATGTCCATCTACCCCATACGTGTGTAATAGGAATGCAGATCTTCGCACTACTTAGACTGAAGGTAAACCTTCTATGTGTACCATATTAACAATATCTGAATCTTCTACCAACTAGCAATATTAATGTATACATTCAAAATGTGCACAAGAGCAATTTAATTAATCTCACTGTAGTATGTAAAAACACCCTTGCTAGATTTGAAACTTGTGTGTGAAATTCTTGGTTTCTCTCTCTCTCTCTGTGCTCTCTCTCACACTCTCTGCCTGTCTGTCTGTCTCTCTCTCACACACACACATTCACTCACACTCACTCACTCTTAAGTAGTTATCACCTTCTGGAGAACAAAATTAGCTTATGACCAAATTGCATTGTTCTAAAATGTTCCTCCCCTTAAATTGGCTTTGGAGATCAAGCTATGATGTCTATAGATTATAGGAACTATAGTCTGGGAAATTTGGCAGGCATCAGATTAAGGACAACCATCTGAAACAACTGGAACTTGGCAACAAAATGGGAATGTATAGTTTTAGCAGCTGGTTATGAAAGAGAGAGAAATAGCTTTTAAATTTCACATAAACGGAAGAAATACCACAACCCCAAAATTGGTGCCCTTTACTTTAAAACAAGATATTCAGAATCAGTTGTGGTTACTTGGCTAAGGGATGTTGCTCTTCCCCCCAACTCACCCAGTGATCTGTGTTGGTAGACGTAACATTTTGTTTTGATTATGGTTCATATGTAAGTTAAGCTTGTCTTGGAGAGCAGTTATAAACTTGTTTTTGAGATGGGGAGCGGGTGGGGGGAAGGTCTCATACATTTCAAAGATGGGTGGGTGCCTTGCCCTGCTGCAACTAGATTTGGGCAGTATTTAATAGATCCCATTTAAGGCTTCTAGAAGTGCTCGCATGGGGATTAAATTGTAGTAGGTGATACATAATGTGGTTTTTCCTGGTAGCTTTGCAACAACAACCAAACAGGTTTCCCTACCTGTAAAAATTAATAGTTGTGTGCTTGGCTGAAGTGGCTGAGCCATGGTATACTTGAAGTGTTCTAGCATAGTTTTTATATATCAGTGCCATACTGTCCTCTTCATCTCACCTGGGTTGACCTTTGGCTAGGGTGACCCTGAAATGCTTTTTTTCAGGACCTCCACTCCATATTGACTGTGGTTGAAGCTTCAGGTACTACAGAGAGTACAATAAAAACTACAGAAACTATTACAGACTCAGCTTTTCTTTTCACACTTACATTTGTAAAATTTCTTATTATATTATAGTTGTTCCCATTGCTCTGAGATGTCCCACATCAGTTTCTACTTGATGTCATTGGCTGCTGGGTTAATTTTCTTGTTAAATGTTTTTATATGCTTTTATACATTATTATTACTCTCTACTGTTTTGAACTTATCCATTGTTCATATTTACCTCAGATTGATGCAGTGAGCGCATACGAGCATGTTATGGTGATTGGTATTTTTGCTTGCAGAAGTGCACTATTTGCTAATATTCTGTGTGCGTGTGTGTGTGTATGTATGTGCTTTCCACATAATCCCGATATCATTAGTGGACAGTTTCCATATCTGCTTAAGAAAAGGCAAATAGCCTTATGGAGGACAAGACTAAAAGGTAATAACTTGACCAGGACCAATTGAAATACATCATTTGATTTTTATTCTTGTATATCAAAATCTAATAATTTCTCCCTTAAAACCATCATGTTATCTGCTTCAGAAGAAACATTAACCTTTTATTAAGGACCAACCAGAGTTTTACTAATGTAATAGAAGAGTCTTCCCGAAGAGGCTGTGGGGGCAGACAGCCATTGGCAATAGCACCATCCTGTGGTATCTGAAATTGAGGCCAGTTGGTTTTCAAGTTGTTGATCCAGATATGGTAACTTTTCCCCATACATGAGGAAATTTTAGGAGCAGGCAGACCTAGCCAAAAAAAAAAAGGTGTCTCACAATTGCTGAATAAGAGTATAGTATATGGTTGCTAATAAAGCCATTTCCTATAATGTATGCTTTTTCAGTTAATATATTATTTCAATTTTAATTGATGCAATAATGAAAATTATTAGCAGAATTCAAACAGGGTGATTTGTTTGTGACATCATCTGCTACGCTGATAGACATAGGTGGGAGTATGCCAATCAGTAAAATTGTGATTTCTCCTATGATATTAAATGACTTTAAACCCATGATTTATTTTAGAGTTAAGGATCACAAGTGTAGTTCAATATAATTATGAACAGGAGAGCATCATTTGTCTGTACTTTGTATGATTTAGTTCTAGTTTAACCAGCTGAATCTCTCATCAGTTGATTGAGATGCAATACTCAGGCAATTTAAAAAAGGAATAAAAATAAACCAGGACCTTCCATGACTATCTTTCTAACCTACCGGTATTTATTAAAATTGGATTTGCATTGTATGTAGCCACTGTCAGGTGGGATTCAGGGTCGAAGTGTTTTGCAAATTGTTCAATAAAGAAAAAGAATGTATGTTTGTATGTAAAATATTTTGATATTTGAATATTACTCCTGGGTTCTTCATGGTCTTTAAGGAAACTGCTATGTCGAAGAGTTTAAGAAATCCATGTATATAGTATCTTTATAATGAATATTGGATTTTTTTCTCTCTTTAAAATATATAGAAAAACTGATGTCTAGAAATGAAGTGAGGCATTAAGTATTTAAAAACCCATTCCAATATCAGAGATATTTCCTCTTATTTTTATGTTCAATGTTGAGAAGTGTATAGCACTTGAAATACTGTATTAAGGTTAGGAAACATAATCCTTTTAAACAAATGTTGATGGAGTAGATCCTAATAAAAGTACTTTGAACCTAGATGACAGTTTCTGTTATTAAGAGTGTGTCATTTCTATAACTCAGTAAATCTTTACAACAGTCCCGTTAGATAGGTAAATATTGTATTGCAGATGAGGGAAAAGAGAATATGATGTTTCCTAAAATAACCTGATGAATTCATGTCAGGAGTGAAATTTGTTTTGCACAAACAACTTACTCCTAGCCATTTTGCCAAATGTGGTAATCATGAATTCTGGGTTGTGTTTCTTTAGATTGTATGGTTTAGAGACAATTCAGATTAGTTTACTGTGTTTGTTGCCTTGGTTCCCCTACTTTCCTCTTTTGATTTCTGCCTGTTTTGACTAGGCAAAATGCTGACTTTGTGCGGGCAAGCCCTTCGTCATGGTTTTGGGGAAAATACATCTGATTTCTGCAATGTTCAGGAAAGACCAAACTGTTGGAAGGAGCCATCAAGGAGCTGATCTGGGAAGAACTCCTTGATTAGATGCAAGTCAAGTGGTCTAGCTCCCCTCTCAACCCCCCCCTCCCACTGCTGTGGCCTAGCCTGTATTAAGGCCATGTACAGTTCTGTACAAACATAGTATAAGCAACCTCAGCGGAGGCTTGGTCCTGCCCCAGGCTGCTGCCTTCTTTTCAAATCTTGTGTCTTTCTGAGAGCTTTCTCGCATGCTCTGTCTTCTGGAAGTGGGGCAGAGTTCACTATTGCTGGCATGAACGGTGGCTGTGTGTGGGTTAGTGCGTGTGAGTGTGGTACATGGGCGGAGATATGTCAGCTGAAACGCACGTGGAGAGCCTCTGTCGCTGTAGTTTGATTTAAATGGTTGTTTCCATCACAGAGGAAGAAAAAAGGAGGTGCGGGGTGAGGTGAGGGAGAGACATTATTTGTGAGGCAGGAAAAACGAATGTTTAGTCTGAGGATGCTTCCAAGGAGCTTAGAGTCATACAGGAACACCACCAGAATGAATGTTCAAGGAGAAAAGCTGTGTTGGGTGAAGATTGTCACATTTGTATCTTACGATTCTTGATGTATTTTATTTTTTCTTATGTACACTGAGAGCATATGCACTAAAGACAAATTTCTTGTGTGTCCAATCACACTTGGCCAATAAAGAATTTCTATTCTTTTTTTAAAAATAATGTTATTTGTATTTTTTCACAATGACAAGTCTCTTGTACATTTTTACAACACTGTGATACCGACAATTTCATGTATATCTACATACATTTCTACTTTTAGTTCTTATTTCTATTGTGTAATCAGCTATACTATTTATCCCAGACCGTATAGTATTCCGACTCCTCTCTATTTTGCAATTCCAATGTAAGTTTAACCATCTCTGCACAAACCAACACTTACTTTATTACCATACTGGGGTACTGTCCAATTTCTAATTTTGTGCAAAAGCAATTATTGCCGTGTCACTATATGCACTATAATATATTTGGTTTTTTTCATTAAATTCTCCTCTAATTATTCCTAATAAAAACGTTTCAGGTTTAAGTTCAATTTGAAGACCTATAATTTCCTGTAGCCAAATTTTATTTTTACCCAGTATTTCCTCGCTTTGAGGTACAGCCACCACATATGAAAGTAGGTAACATATTTTTGTTTGCACTCCCAGTATTCTAGATTCATATTTGGTTATATCTTTGCCAATCTTGCCGGTGCTAAATGCCAACAATAAAACATTTTATAGAAGTTTTCCTTGTATGCAACAGACATTGTTAATTTATAATTTTTTGTCTGCAATTTTTTCCCAATCTTCTAGTTGAATATTATACCCAAAGTTCCTTGCCCAGGCTATCCCAGATCCTTTTACTATTTCTTCTTCTCTATCGAATCTTAACAAATAATTATACATTTTCATTATAAATTTCTCTTCTGATCCTAGTAGAATTTTATCTAATTGTTGTTGTTCCCTATCAATGCCATATTCTTCTAAGTCTTTTTTATATCTCATCTGCAATTGTAAATATGGCCACCAATCTATATTTATTCCTTGCTCTCTCAATTTTTGGTTTGTTATTAGCTTCCCTTGTTTGTCTAATAGTTCACTGTATCTTACCATTTTGTCTAGGCCAAGTGTATTTGGGTAGATCATTGTTTCCATGGTTGATAGCCAGC